AACATTTAGCATTTTTAATTAATTTATCAAAATCAGAGAATGACAAAAAAAAAAACTACCAGCAACAACAGATCGAAACTGTCGATTTTTTTTTCTTGGACTCCATTACAAATAGACGGTGGAACGGGTGGGGAGTTTTTGGAAAATTTCCACCAAATTTTGTGAGTACGGTCGCACAATTTTACGAAACCAAATTTTCCACATTTGTAATGGGTGCGGGTGGGGCGCACGCGACCTTCGTTATCAGTAATTTCTGTCACGTCCGCCCGAGTGACCCAAGAATACCTTGTGAAGGGCCCCCAAAGGGGTTATGTAAATTGCTCAATACGATTGAACTTTCAGGCGGATAGATCGCGTGATTACAAAGCTCTGATAATGCCGAAGTTGTTCAATCGTTTTGCGGTTTATCACCCACTTTATTTGCGTTCTTTTTTGTTATATTTCGTCTTTTGTTGTTGTTGCGGAATTATGGGGATAATAATGTATTTTATGGCACGCTAATGGCGTTTGACTCGAGATGAAAAGCAAATAATAACTTCAATTACATTTCGTGTGTGATTTGGTTGTACTTTGGGTCTGCTTCCGTTTGCTCAGTTTTTCGTTAAGGATTTTTGGTGGATTGAAATTTTCACTCTTGCGCGGATCGATTGGGGAACTGCGTCTTGTGTCTGCGAGCGCCACGACGGGTTTGTTTTCATCGCCAGCTGCGGCTGCCTCTTGGGCGGCATATATACGTACATGTACGTACACATGTATGTATGCAAGTTTCTGTTTGGCCCGATCTTGTTCGCCGCAGCCGCTGCGTCTACGTCTACGTCTACCTCGGGGAAGGTTCGTGTGCCGCCGACGCTGACGGAGACCGAGACTGAGGTTGTGACTGAGACTGAGACGTGGACGTAGCCGCTGGCAGCTCAGTCGAAGTCCCCATCACAGAGTCGGGCATCGGAACCGGGCATCGCATCTCATCGCATCGCACCGCGTTGATTGTACAATAAATGAGCGGAGCGCACATCTCTTGGCCCGCAAAGGCAAATATCGTATTATAGGTTTGTTTACGCACTTCGGCTTCGGCCACACAGAGCCGGTTTCTTGATTTTTGGGCCTACATACTTACAGCCTCACAGATCCGATGCGATCCGATCCACTGGCCGCCAGCCGTTGATTCTGCCCCAGAGTGCATTTGCCCCCAGCTCTCGCAGCGGAACGAAAATGTTCAATAAAACTCGCACAAAACCGCCAAGAAAAGCTGGCAACGAAACGCAATATAATTAACACATGCCAGATAAACACACAACAAAGCAATTGTCGGCCGCCCTTTGCCCAATTACTTGTAGAGAGTCAAGTGCAGGGCATGTGCAAGGCAACAAAATGTAACTTGAGAGCCGGGAATTTCCAGCGGGCCCTGTGCAAAGGTGGCCCAGTAACTGACTCACATCTCAGAGCCACTCATGGCGGTAATTAACCCTCAGCATCAGGCAACAGGCTATGATGCATCATGCCACTCCGCACATCTCTGTCCGTGTGTGTTTGTGTGTGGGGCAGGCTTAAGGAGCTGCAGCAACAAATAGTTGCTATTAATCGCTTCGTTTGTCGCTCAAGTTGTCGGCATTGGGCTGGATTGCATGTGGCACAGACTTTGCAACTTTCGCAAACTTCCGGCAGCAGTTTTCAGGCCAGCAAAAGAGCAACAGTGATGGAGACAGTCACGGGAGGGAGACAGCAAGTAATGCAGAAGTTTCTGCATTAAATGCAAAATAGTGTAAAGTAATTGCAGTTGCTTTATCATTATTACTACCCTTTCAAAAGGGTATTTATGAAAGGATTTTGGTTATGTTTAATCGTGCATGGAAAAGTTACTCAATTGTTTATTTTTTTTAAATGTTTTGCGGAATAGAATAATGTCTATGAATAGACCATTTAAGTTCCACAGGTTTGAAGAATTTCTTAGAGTATTTACAGTTTTGGAAGCCAAAAACTTTCGTTTTTCTTTCGTGTTTTCTTGGCCGGTCTGCTCTTTGCCTTCTCTGAGGCCGTGAGTAATTGTGGGTGTAGTCCGCATAATCATCATCAGCGGAAGTGTTGCCCATCTCCCTCCCTTCATCATCCCTTCCGCTCACTCTCCGCAGCTATCTTACCACACTTTCCGCACTTCTGTACTTATGTCTGTTGGCTCCCCCGTCCACGGCGTTTACTTTATGACCGCTAAGCAGGGCGGTGGTCGACTGTTTGGCGGTTGGTTTGGTTCTGCGAGTGAATTAGCACAAGCCGCATGTTAGATTTGTTGATAACATGCCCCACCCAAACATCCTGGCACACATACTCGCACATACACCCCTAAAAGCTTGCCCCACACTCACACACAGAGAGAAGCCTACAAGTAGTTATCTTGTGGAGGGTGCTTTGGGCGCGCGTCCTTAGCCATGCAGTTAGAGGCGGCTGTCAAGTTGAGAATTTTATGCGAAATGTTTAGTAATTAGTTGCATCCGCAAGGGGAAATTACTTAGCACAGCCGACCGCAAAATTCTCTCTCTCCCCCCCTTGGCTTAGTCCTCGTTTGGGACGAAAGTTCAAACGTTGGCAAAATGTTGACAGCTTCAAGAAATTTCCCCCACATTGCTATGGGTGTAAGCATAGCTTTAGCTGGCTTATAAATACACCCCGTATAGCTGTCATGGGTATGTGAGGAGTCTCATTACTCATACGCAGAATGCAACGGGACTCCTGGCGGCGCCAGGCGTTAAATTAACTAATTAAAACTTGCACAACTCTTGCAGCGCTCTCTCTCCCCCTCTTGGCTTCTATTCTCCATGACAATTATACGCGGGTGCTTTTAATAATTTTGTATTCCGCCTCCGACTCGGGTACTCTGACCTGGTTGATAAACGTTGCACAACTTTGGGCCACAGTAGAAATAGCAACAACAGAAATAGCAACAGCAACAGCAACAGCAACAACTGAAACAATTAACACACTGCCTTGCATTTAGATTTAGCCCGCAGGTTCTCTTCACGGCCTTCAGTCAGCAGTCAGGCAGGTCTCTTCCTTCCTTATTTGTTGCATGCAACTTTTACCTAGCCCAGTTTTTGCAGCTCGTCGCCCGGCGTCACGTGTGTAATTAGCACCTGGCAGACTCGCAGACTCGCGACTCGCACACGGGCAAACAAACGACTTGACAAACTTTGCATGCTGCTCGCTTGCTCGGCTGCTAAACTGCTCAATGTGTGAGTACGGTACACATACATACATACATATATATGTACATATATGTATGTACATAGGTACTGTTGTCTCTGTCGCCTCTGATTAATGAGACTGTTGCGGCCTGGTGGCATTAAAAGCGCATGTTTGGCTCTAATTATTTAATGGCGCTCAACAAAAAAAAGGCCGCCTAATGTGAGCTGAGCAGGTAAGAGGCAAATTACAGACAAAAATTGATTACGCGGATATATATTTATTGTAAAGTTTCCAGTATCATGAGTGTAAAAATTATGAATTAAAATAATTCATTGAGTTAATTATGTTTGTATCTATGCAAGTAGTTAGAATATCAACAATTTGTTGGGGAAGTGTAAAACAAAAGGAACATTAGCCCTTTGTTAGTTGCATCTTGATCCTTACGAATAATAAGTTCAGTAAAACTAAATTATTATCTTAATGTTAATTCTGCAAATTAAATAAAAATATTTATCGCTATTAGGGAGATTTGAAAATCAAGTGACGACATCTCTAGCCAGAGTTATCCATATTGTAGCTTTAATCTTGGCAAATCAAATAATTGTTGGGATCCACTTGGCATTAAGTCATAGCTTGCTTGTGACGGTTTTGAGACTTGTCTCTGGTTTCCCTTCCCGTTGCTTTATTTCATTTTCAATCTTTCCTAAAACACACATTTGATGATCGTCGAGCATTAAGAATGAGCGAGCCAATATCCCAGTCCAATTCTACTATGCGTAATTTACATTGGCAAATAGTGGGCCCAAAAGTGTTCTAATCCATTCGACTACATTTACCTTTTGATCGATCGGCCCAAAAGTAGGCAATACTCACATGTTGAGCAACTTTCGCTGCGTTGACAACTCTGCGAAGTCAAGGCTGCAGGCCCTGGCAAAATCAATAAGCAAAGGAGCACAAATGGTTGAGCGGCGTCTGCGCATACAGGAAATTAAAATGCCATTTAATACGCCGCATCGCCTTCTCCCTCGCCGCACACTCCACACACCAGAACACACCAGCACAGACCACACACAAATACTCTCGCAGGCACCCAGAAATTCTGCAGAATTTATTGGGAATTTTTGCCTTTATTACTGCGACGTCTGTTTGTCTTTTTGCGTTCCTTCTTTTTCGTGACACATTCGCTTTCCGCTGGAATTTTTGCTTGTCCCCGACATTGGCATTCACCTTGGCATTGAATCGAGAATGGAAAGCAGGGTGGCCCACTGTGCCCACAATGGAATGAAAGGAAGACACAAATGCAGTTTAAAGAATTTAAGAATACTTTCGGATTTAATTATTCAGTTATTATTATTTGTTGGGTTTACGCACTGGTTCGCTGATTCGCCTAACGAGAGTAAGTTTTAAAAGGTTTTTTCCATAGTATTTACTTATGTTTTGTTAGCTTTAGCTATCTTGGTTTCTTTTGTTTTCTCTTGGGATATTCTTCGGTCTGACGTTTTTGTAAGTGTTTTGTTTTTTGTAATTGTTTTCGTATGGTATATAATTTTCAATGAAATCTTTATTGTCCTTTCTATTGGACATATGTATTTGCTTATCTAATAGTTTAGTCATTACTTTAGTTGTAACTATGTATATCATACTGCCTAACTCGAGTTCCGCTTAAACTAGAAGATCTTAGGAAAACAACTTGTATGTAAATGTTACGTTTTGCTCAAACTCAACTGGTGTGTGTTAGTTGGGGCTGTTAGTTAGGGTGTATGTACTGGGCAGAATAAACAAAACTTACAAGTTTTTAAATGCGTTTTTAGTTGTTTGTGGTTTTCTCAGAAGTTTGCAGTTCGTTTTGTGAGGAATTTCCTTTAATTTCCGAGTCTGCTTCTGTTTTTTCTGCTGTTTAGTTGAGTTTGTTTAGTTTAACTATGACTTATGATTGCCTAAATGCTAAGAGTTCTTATGTATGTACTCGTATGTATGGGTGTTCTTGCTGGACATTTGTGGGGTCTCGGATGGGTGGGTGGGTCTGCTGTTTTCTTTACACTTAGTCTTAGCTTTGGTATAATTAAATACTTGTTAGTTTTCCCGTTTTGACTTACATGCGAAAATTCAATTCTTTGGTGGCTTCAATTTGCAATTTCTGGTTGCTCAATTTACATGTTTTTTATCGTTATAATATCATCATATAGATGGATATATGTAGATATATTTATAAATATTTATTTATGAATAACATAACATGGCATAATTAATAGGTATTTACAAGGCTTAAATATTTAATTTCTACGTAAGTTTGAAATGCTCTTTAATCCCTTAACAAACTTTGATTCAACTTTGATGTGTGAGTGAGTGTGTTTGTGTCTGTATTTACTCGAATGTAGCATGTAGATGAGTGTGTAGTGATGTGGCGCAACCAAGACGTTAAAAGGGGCTCAGTTTTTAACGTTTTGACCACCCTGAATAAGTAGTGGGAAATGAACCGAGGAGAATCGTAACTCATAGCACCATGTTACTTCGTTGTTAGCCATGTGGAACAAGTACAATATGTATATATGTAAATAACCGAACGAGCATCAGCTGCAATGGCATGTTCTAAACATAGTTTATTACATACACAAATATTAATATATCTTGCGTATTTTACCCTTTGTTAACTACAGTTTATTTAGCATAACTTACATATGTATGTACCTAAGAAGACTACTACCATGCGAATTTGTGCAGCATTTTCCAAGTTTATGTTTTTATTTTGCTATGGGAAGAAACCTTTTGAAATACACACACACTTATTGAATATTTTTTGAACTGCTTGCTATACATACAATTAGTAAATTAGCCTGCCGCCTCGTAGCAGATCTGGAGTAACGGCCTGAATGAGAGGGCTCTGAGAACGCAAAATGGAGTGAGCGTAATTGTAGTGGAAGACTTCCGCTTAAATGTATGTCGTATGTTTAACAATTTACAAGTGTACTTACTTAGGCATGTTTTACTTTGATTTAACTATGTTGTATGTACTTATAGAGTTTTCCATTTGATTCTCATTTGCCGCTGGCTTTGATATACTCATCATCTACCCACAACTCTCCATTAAATTGAGCTATTTTGAGTTATTTTTGTTGCGTGTGTTTTGTTCATATTGGGTATGATCTACGCACAACTAGGTGGAATACGAGTTAAAATTGTTGCTATGCATATGCTGTTGAATGATTAAACGTTTCTATAACTATTGGTAACTAGAGAATTATGCTAATTAAATAGTTTCACTTTTGTCTAGGTTCAAAATTCAACTTCCATATACATATATTTATTTTAACTTATTTATTTTATCATATCATCGTTATAAATATTGGTTTCTAGTTTAGCAAAAAAGTTTAAGTTTAGGTTTAAGATTAAATATTGAAATACGTTAAGTTACTTGCAATTTCTTTTGGATTTACTTTTATATTTTTTAATGAAATAATTTCATTTAGCATTTCAGTCATTGGTATCCTTTTGGGTTCTGGGAGACAAGCCCCAAGAACTTCTTGAACTTGTATAGATGGTCGCTGGGTCTATCTATCTAATGGCAAATACTCGTAGTAAGTAAATTCCTTCATTTATTTTAATTTCACTTTGCACAGGCCTTGGATTTGCTTAGTTTTGGGCGGCAATGCTAGATACAGAATCAGGCATGCTTAACAGAATGCGGAACAGGATAAGGAATAGGATTGGGAATGGGAATGGGAAACATCATCATCATTACCATCGAGAATGGTCCTACCCGTTGAACCGAACCGGCAACACAACTTTTCCAATTAATCAACACGGAGGGAGGAGCCGGGAGGGGACCGGCATTTTAACAGCCACCATCCTCATAAATATTCATGCTGTCAATGCGCATAAATACCTAAGTGCATATTTATGGGCCAGCATTTGTTGTTATGAGTTTTACATTTATGGCCTTTTTACTTTGTTAATTAAAAGGCGGGCCGACGAGAGGCATTCTTGTGATTCATTCGCCTGCAGCCTAATGGCCACGTTAATTGCTTCGAGAGAGCGTTCCACAAATACTTCACAGACCATCTAAAAAGACGAACCCCACACCCGAAACAACATTTTTCCATTGGGAGGAAGTGGAAAATGCATCTCTCTGTTTACAGTTCCCACGTGTTTATCATGTGTGTGCGGGTCATAAAGCGATTTCTCTGATTGAGAATTCACTCGACTTGAAGTGCAATTCAATTTCTGTTTATAAATCACTAATTATGACTGGGGGGCATTGGCTAAAAGCTACGCATAAATAAACATTTAAACAAATACGCGCTTAAATATTTATCAACTGTTTCAATGTTTGGAACTATCCGCTGCCAATGCCGCTGCCGCCACCGCAACCGAATTTCAATTAAAACCCAAAATCCCACTCGGCACTCCCCACTCTGTCTAAACATCTGAGAATCGCTGGGAAATCTGCTACCCAGTGGGTGCTGCAATTTAGCAAGTTAATCAGGCATTAAATTGGCTTATTGCGTCTGGATAGTTGGAATAGATGTTGACAGAAATGAAAATGCATATTGTAATTTACGCATTCCGTGCAATAATAAATTCAATTTCCTCGTCCAATTTGTGGCTTTTGACATTAGAAATTTAGATTTGCAACAAAAAAAAAAGTCTGAAAATAATGAATATTTTTACATAATTGTTTTAAATATTTACCACTTATTTTTCAATATGTACATTTAGGCAACTCTTTCTTAACAAAAAAACGGAAAACAATTGGCAAATTCAAGTTGAAGCAAACAAGCAAAATGATGAAGAGAGATAATTTGCATTCCAAATCGTATAATTCAATTATGAGCATTAATGGAAATGACTGTGCATTATTCAAACCTTTTTGGCCATTGTTTTTTGTCATTGTCATGTGGTTTTCTTTATTATTTCTTTAAAATAATAATATTTTCATATTTTAAATGCTTGTGGAGCATTTAATTTATGGTGATTGCTAATTGTGACATTAATTGCCATTTTATGAATGTCCATTCAGCGCAGGCCGCAAAAACCAACCGAAAAGTAGAGCCAAATACAAGGTACATTGACGGCATTGCGTTGCGTATTCGCCATGTGGCCAGAACAGAAAACGCTCGTCAGGATTTTATACCCTTGAATATGGTATTCTTATCTAAGTGAGCTTTAGGATAAAAGCTGCGTAAAGTATTCAAATTTTGGATGCTGAATCACAGAAAATCGAACATATGTATTACAATTTAATCTGTCCAACTAAATATGTATATGTGGATGCGATTATTGTCTTGGCGTAGTCTTACCAGCAGCAAGGGTATCTCGATTTCGGCAAAGTCAAAGGCAGCCCTCATGCATTTGTACACTTTAAGTGAAAATGACTTTCCGTGCGACGGGCAAAACAATGCCTTTCGTGCAATGCCGCTCGACACTCATCTGGCTGTCGCACCTAAGTGCAGTTAAGTGCTATGTGTGTGGGTGTGACGCCCTGTAAGTGAGTGTGTGCATGTGTGTGTCGCGCATTTTAATGTGCCTCCCCCAGTGGCAGGTCCTGCCTGGTTTGCCTTGCCGTCGATTTCAATTGTTTTCGATTTCGCCTTGTGCACAACGCTCCTGGTTTCGTTTCGTTGTTTTTGTTGGTGTTCTGTTGTTCAGCCATTTAGTTGGTTGTTGTAGCTAGTGTGTAGTCGTATTGTTGCACTGGATGTCGTTGTTCAAATTGTCATTTGAGTGCAGTTGTTGTACACACATTGCTGACAATGCCAAAAACTACAGAAGGAGAGTGCGGCAGGAAGAAAATGATCCATAAAAAAGCATGCACCCAGACCCAACGTCGGTGCCTGCCCCTGCCAGAGCTTTCAGCTTGTTTGTCTCTCAACACCTTCAAATTTCTTGCTTCGATTTCCATTTATTCAAATGGAACACATGTACGTTCTAGTTCCCTCTTTCGTTCTCCAGCTGGCTGATAGAATTCGGTCGTAGCCATTATTTATGCTCTCTTAAACAATTTTAAAAGGCCTGAAGCAACCGCAAGCACTTAGCCTATGGCCGAGGCTATAAATTTGATATATCTGCCATGTGTTGAGAGGGCCAATAAGCTGCAGAGTAGGGGCGGAGGGATGCTGAAAGCTGCCATAAATTTGATGGACCCAAGAACAAGGTTATTGCAGATTGTTATCGATGCTAGATGCTAGATTTGAGTTTACAGGTGGCACTAAGATTTAGTTGCACCCTGCCACAAAGTGTCCGAGAAATATGAGGAATGAACACATCACAGAGAAAGTAAAATAAATTGTACGTAAAATGTATGCAAGGATTGTCTGTCTTATTGTGTGTGTCTGCGAAGAAGTATCTTTGGGCTCGTTTTGCTCATATTTCATTCCATTTTTTGGCTTTGGCTTTGCCTGCGAAGAGAAGCCAAACGAAATGGAGAGCCGTTTTGGGCCACATGCCAAAAACAGTGTCTGTCTGTCCGACTGACTGACTGACTGAATGCCGCTTTCCCTGGATCTGTCTCCGTGCCATTGTAGCGTTTCGTTTGACGATGGGTCCGCCTCTCCGTCCGACTGGATGACGGGCTGACGGGCGGGCTGTCTATTCCACTCGGACGGGCACATGCATTTTCTGATGCCTTGGCCAAGAGCTAAAGTGGGAAATGGAGGGGAAAATGGTGAGTGGTGGCTGCTTCATTTGCATTTGTCTGTGCCCATGAGGCATTGGGGCTCCCATATATTTCGTTTCGTTTATTTTTCTCCAACTGAAATATCTTTGAGTGAATGAATAAAACTGCAGCTGCCTGGTGGAATCTATCTCCGCGCCAATGTCGTTGTCGTTGTCGATGCCTCTTTAGTGTGTGTGTGTGTGTGTGTCTCACTTTGTTACATCAAATTGTGTGTTGGCTGCGCAGGATTACACTCGTACTGGTACTGCCACTTTACATTTATGTGCACATGAAATTATTGATCTGGCCACCAGCCAAACTGCAGCATTCAAATAGCATTTCGAGAGGGAGAGAGAGCGCGAAAGGCTCTCCTTTGCCAAAATATTAAATAGAAATCAAATTAATTTGTTGCAACCATCGGCATCATCATCAAAATGAGTATAACCAGCAGCACCCCTTTGACCTAAGCTTGTTGACCTCAGTTAGGATTGGCAGCCAACACAATGGTGGTCTTCAGGCCATTGGATTTGGGTTACCTGCCTGTTAGCACGTTTGCAGATTGCACAGCACAGCTGTCCATCAGGGTGAGGGGACCATCTGAATGAAGGCAGACCGAAGCCAAACCGAACGGCTGGGACCTGTGCAGCATTGCGAATGCAGCCACAAATGGAAATTTGCGAAATTATTTCAAGTTGAATGGCCATTGGCGCCGCAGTCGACATCCATTGAGGCCATATAATGGATGTTTGCTTAGCTGAAATTCTTGTTTGCCCAGCTCATGCATTTCTATGAGCTCTTCGAGTGTGAAAAGTGTTTGGACTTGGGTTCGGATTCGCAGGGCAAGGACTGAAAACTGGGAACTGGGAACTGGGTTCAAGGGTACTCGAGAAACGAAACGAAACCAAAATTCGTAAATTGAAATTGAGAGATTCCATCAAATTCACAGCCGTTCATTGCTTTTTAAATGAGCTACAATGTTCGTTACTTTTTTGTTTGTTTTTAAAACTGAAAATTTAAAGGAAAACAAACCCACGCATCGGGGAAAAATGGGTTTAATGGGATTCTAGGGGGAACTGAAACTGAGATGTGAAACCAACTCGAAGCAAATCTAACGCCTGTAATGCTGATACGAGCCATGTCCATAGCCCATGGGTGTGCTGCCCATGGCACGTTCGGTAGCCTTCTCGATGCTCGCATAAACGCACCTGTAACAGCACACGTAGGCCAAACATCACTTGAACAGGATGCGCCTGAAAGCGCGCCGGAAGTCCTTGTTGAAGATGGTGTAGATGGCCGGATTGAGGGCCGAGTTCATGTAGCCCAGCCAGAAGGCGATGGCGAACGCCGACTCCGGTATGTTGCAGTGGCTGCTACATGCCGGCACCAGGATGTACAGGAAGAAGAAGGGCAGCCAGCAGGCAATGAAGCTGCCCATGATCAGGCCCAGGATGAGTGTGGCCCGCTTCTCCTTCTTGCGTGCGATCCGTCGCTTCTCCTTCTCGGGATCCCGCGGCTTCGGCGTCTTCGGAATGGCCGGCTCAAGCTCGGCCTTGACCACATGCTGCTGCTGCTGGTTCTTGGCTGATGCTGCGGCCGGGGTCGGACTCTTGGATGAGGCCGCGGCGGCTGCCTTGGACTCGTTGCGCCGCTGCTGGTTCGATTTGCGTCCAAAGATCGGCTGGCAAAGGCGAAACTTGAGCGGCTTGACCACGGCACAGCGACTGACCACGCCCGAGTCCGAGCTGGAAGGATCGAATTCACTCACCATGTCCGTGTCAACGCCCACGGATAGCGCCCGACACCGTCCGACGATGGGCGACACTCTCAGCTCGTTGCTAGACGTCACGGTGGTACCCAAAGCGGTTCCACTGGCTCCGCCAGCCCCGACACCGCCACCGCCGCCAGCGACGCTATTGGCAGCCTCCACACTGCCATTGTTGTTGTTGAGGGCGTTGATGGAGTTGTTGCTGCCCATGGACGGTGGCACGGGTACATTGAGGCCAACGTGGCCCGTGGCTATGGTGCTGACCTGCAGCGTCTCCTTCGGCGAGCTGGGCGAGCACAGGCCACCCGACACGTTGACCGCATTCGCGCCACCATTGGGATTGGCACTGGCATTGGCATTGGCATTGGCGTAGGCTAGGACTGTTTGGGCGGCCACAGCCTCCAGCTCCCCCGCCTCGGAGGTGGATATGTCAGAGGCCAGGTCCATGGTTACCGTTGGTATTTGCATCGGCAGCGTGGCACTGTTCGGTGGTGTCTCGATTGTGGCTATCTGTCGCTGCTGGTGCAGCTGCAGCGCGGAGGCGCCGCTGGAGGATGGCATCGGTATTGTTCCTTTCTTGTTGGCGGTGGTGAAGCTCGTTACCTGTGAAGAGAGAGAGAGAGAGAGAGAGAGAGGGAGAAACAATAATTAGGCGAAATATTGCACCACAGAAATCGTAGCTCAGGGCAGTCCAAGGCATCCGCCCGTTAAGGCATTGCAAATTAGGTTTCAGGGGGGAGGACAGTTACAGATGGCCAAACATTTGCTACAACAGTATTCCATTTCGAAAATCCCGCTTAAGCCGACTGGTGCCACTGGCAGCAGTGAGACGCGTCAAAGCGCGCGGATTACACAAACACTGGTGAGAGCTGCTCCGAGAGGGGAGCCTGTGCATGTCGAGGGAATGTGTGCCGTTACAGAGGGGGAAGGGCGAGGGGGATAGCTGTGCATATGCAATGCGCGAAAAGCAGCAACAATTACGAAGGGCAATTAACAGAGACAGAGACAGCAGGGTCTCTGTGTCCAAACGAACACGAAAATAAGAGGGGTGAGAATGCGAGAGTTGACTAGCGAGGCGACTACCCGATACCCTATACTTCGGTATGTACATGTACTGAATGTGAAAGAGCTGGCGAGTGGAGTACAGCATACCCTCGAACTCCGCGAGTACCGTGTAAGTATAACAATGCACAGAATAAAGCGTAATGTCAGCATACATATGTGAGCGACTGTGTATCTGGCCTGCCTCACCATGTTTACCCCTCTCTTTCTCTCTCTCTCTCTCTGTCTCTCCATGTACCGTTAATCGCTCGTTTGGGCTGCTGCTCCTGCATTTGTTTGCTTGAAATGGCCGGCAAGTGTCGTTGATATTGCCAGTCCCGGCCCCCCTTCTGATTTTCGCTCTTTCCATTTTGTGTTTCCGTCTGGCTGTGTGAGCATATGTGAGTGGCGGGTCCGTTGGTTCAGTTAATTGAAAATGCAAATTGTGTATGAAGTGGAGGACTGGCACTCGCACTCGCACCGCTGCCATTGCAGGTAATTGACGCAGTCCACGTCGATCATTAGACACTTTTCACTCCATCAGTGGATTAGGTGGCGTTTCAATAATTTTTAACAAAAGTCACGCCCAAATAGGTATAAGAAGAGGGCAGGTACTACTACCCATGACCAGAGAGAGTCAGCAAAAGCCGTACAATGGAATGGCCCTGTTTGCTGCAGACGTGGCCAACATCTGCAGCGGCCAGTCCACGCCAAAATTGCAACGTTGGCGCAACCCAACCCAAGGTAAATCCCCCACGTATGCCCCAAGTTGTTGATGGGAAATTGAGGCACAGCATGTGTGTGTGTGTGCACCCAATTTGGTGCTCCGTGGTAATGCACAATTACTTTAAGCAGGTGAAAGGTGAGCAAATATTGCACATACGCCACACATATGCCACACAGCGATTTGACCCACCGAAAGGTTATAAATGGAAATTGCATTTGCTCAGTGAAATGTAAAAATTTCCATCCCCAGCACTATTGCATTAATGCCTCAGATGTGCTACTCCCTCGAATGTGCTTTCATCAAAGTTCATTAAGAACCGACACCCGTACACCAAGAATGAGGACTAAGGGTCAGTCTGTACCGAATTCCAAGTGAATACCGTATGGGTAGACACACTCACCTGTTCGTTGTTTGTTTTGCGCGGATGCTTTTTGATGCCTCGCCGCGCCCTCGCCTTGGCGGCAAAGTAAATTCGTATATACACAAAGACCATAATGCAGCTGGGTATATAGAAGGAGCCCAGCGCTGAGTACAGCACATAGCCGATGTCCTCGCTTAGCTGCAATAGAAAAGGATAATATTTAGGAAGGTTATTAAGGGGTTTAAGAATTTTACAGATTTTATATAATTTAAGTGTAATTTCAGTCCTTGCATTTACCAGCTTTACCTCCAGCTTTTGTACCTTTACACAGTTACCCCAACTATAGCTATCGGTTGCCAGATTAAATTTGATGCACAACCTCCGCCAGCCATTCTTTCTGACTTTTTATCCTCTTACCTATTCAGAAGCTGAATATGCTTTGGGCAATTTTTTGGTGTTTTTTTTTTTTGGGTTGATAGCGGGAAGTCGTTGAGTGCATTACGCTGATTTACTGGAAAATGCATTTTGCCTTTCCCGGAAAAATTCCTTTGCCTGCTCTCTGCTATCTGCTGCCTGCTCCTTCCCTGAGCATCTACGTGCAATGTGCAAAAGTGCATGAAATTTCATAAGGCTAAATGAAGTAAGAGTATTAAATTAGCAACCAACCAGACACAAAAAAATGGCGTCCACCTGGCAACGCCCAGAATTGTGCCGTTAGGAAATAGTAGGACCGAATTATGTACCACATTTTGCGGCACTTGCATTTCGTTTACTTAAAGCTGGCGGAATTAAATCGCTTTCTAGTGGCCGCTGTTGCTGTTACTCTCTTCACAAAAATTATGCAAATTAAGTGTTTGGATGAAAGGCATAAAATAACAAGGGGGAGCGGCTAAATTCGGGCACCGAAGATTTATATACCCTCGTTGATTTGTGGCTCTTTTGGGAACCGATTTAGGATTAAATGATTCCTGCCATATGCTGCTTAAAAGTCAATGAAAACTTTCAGCAAGATATATTTGAAATTGAGGCACTGCAAATCGGAGTTCGCTTAGCTCGTTTATCAACTTGGAAAATATGGTTGCGATGGCCAAAATCTTTTATGATTCTGCACAAAATCAGAGCGCCCTTTGCAAGGGTACAGAAAGTGCACTTGATGCGAATGGCAGCCAAAGGGCGGATCGGGATCGGGAGTGGGAGCAGCAGAAGGGCATGCCCTTTTGAGACTCCCGCTGTTGCAGTTGTTGTTGTTGTTCGTGTTGTTCGACGGCGAGTGGCGTGCATAATGAAAAGCCTTTGTCCCGCTTTTGTTGCTGGTGTTTTGGCTGCTGCTGCTGCTGCTGCTGCTATACTCGTACATAGTTCAGATGCCCCTCAATCCTTCCCCAAGCCACGCATAACTCTCGGGCGAAGGGCCCTCCTTTGTTTAAGCCACCTCAGCAGATGGGTTTCGGGAGTGGAGTGGAGTTGAGTGGTATGGAGGGTATAGGGGTATGGAGTGCTCAGTGCTTGTGCCTGTGCCGAGCATCAGCTGGCCACAACTTCAGCTCGTGCTCTTAGTTGCAGGCAGGCAGGCAGGCAACTGGGCAAAAGAAATCGACAGGCAATTTATAAAAATTGTGCAAAAAGGAGTCCTGGTCACATACGAAATTTATTTAAGTTTTAAGCTGCTTACAACCCTCATACTCGTACTGATACTCGTACTCCCACACTATTCCACACACAAATTGAAATTCAGCAAAGCCATCAGTAAATAAGAGCACATAGTTGCACTCGCATGTGGCAGAAGCAGGCAGCTTAAGTGCAGCCCAGTTTATCATAAGCCGCAGACGAAGTTGCAGCAGTGGGCGGCGGCCGGTGGGGGACATGAGACAACTTTATCCTGCTGCCAAAGCAGAAAATAAATTTACTACTACTGCTCCTGCCCTGCTCCTGCTCCGCTGGGAATCCGAGTTGCGGCAACAAAATAAGCATAAAGTATTAAGCGTTGAGTATAATGTTGCCGAAATATACATCAAGTGGCAGGTTGAGACGAGCTCGGAGAAGCCACCAACAGCTACTTAAGCAGGATTCTTGAATGCTGACGTTGCTGCCTGGCCGTCTCGGTTTTAAACTTATTGCCTGCCACACAGGCAAACGAGAAGTTGCAGTTGCCACAGATACGGCTACGGTTGCTGCTTCTGTTGCTGTTGCAGCAGCAACATAATAAATCGTCTCATCATTTACGGTTTACTGTTGATATATTGACAGCATTTGTCAGCAAAAACCAACTGAAATCGTTTCCCAGCAGAGCTGAGACTCCGCTGCATTGAAGCCACAGATGAGGCTGTGCCCAAAGTTATCCAGAAACTTTCTGTGTAGGCCCAAAAGTTACGCACACACGTACATTGCTCGGGGAAACACCTGTAGCAACAACGTGATAACTTTTCCAACACTGATAATGATGTCTGGCCAAGGGGCGGAGGTGGATGAGGATATACTCGTACTCGTATATTTTATTAACGCATTCCAACAAAGCTCTTAAACTGACATTTGTGCGAGGCAGAAAAAACGGACTAAACTGCCTGACACTGGCCCTGAGGCGGCACACCTGGTTGGGGGGACGTGCTATTAGGGCCGGAAACTACAGGACGAACAAATAAATTGTCAACTGTGTGCGTGACGCTAACTTTTTCGCAGCGGATTTAATGTAATTGAAAGCTTCATTCTGCTGCTGCATTTACCCTGCCGCAGTTGCCAGTTTTCCGTTTTTCGTTTCCCGTTTTTCTGGTCAACTCATTTTCATCTTGACAATACTCTCCAGCCAGCCTTCCCTTGAGCTGCTTTCATACGATACGTTTTCTACCGATGCTTTGTTATAGTTTGTAAATTTTCCGACCATAACAAATGCCTCCACAAAGTGCTAGAAACTTACAAAATTTTAACTTGTACCAGCAATATTTGAGTTCTCAAATATTTCGACATTTTCACGGTAGCAATAGTCTAAAAATGTTCTTAGCTCTTTCTTTTATGATTTGAATTGCCTGTCGGTGGAAAAGATATAGTTTTTGTGTGCCTCAATCCATCCGCTCATCCATCCATCCACCCCTCAAGCAGCATTTGTGCTAATTTGCAGATTTTCAAATTGCAGAGGGCGCTTTTGTTTATTGAAAAGTTTCTGCAAGCTTACACCGAGGAAGAGAGAACAAAGCAGAGTGAAGAAACGAAAGAAAGAACGATGCGAAAAATAAAAATAATTATTCTGCAATTTTTAATTAAATGGCAATGGTAATTGTTGTTGCTGCCGCTCCCGGGTCCCGGGTCCTGCATCGAGGAACTTAAGCTGACGGAAACAAAAACTCATTATGCGCCACCAAATTCGTTAGGAGGAGAGTGGCAACAGGAGCAGGCAAGTGTTGATGATGACAAGTGCCCAAGAAGGATGATGGAGAAAAAACAGCGAAAGGCAGAGAGAGTGCGAAAAAAAGAGAGTGACAGAATGAGATGATGAAAGAGCTGATGGACGCAGAGCAAAGACCGCTAGTGGAAATTTATTGAAATGTAAACATGGAAAAGCAAACAGAAATGAGCGTAATTAAAAATATTAAAGCCCGCTCGGTGGCTCGTGCCGTGTGTGAGTGACGCTTGAAGAGGAGAGATCTAAAGGTAAACCAACTGGCCGCCACACCCAGTGCAGTTTATGGCCACCAATAGCTGCCAGCCATCGCAAACAATGCGAAATGAAGTAAAATAGTGAAGAAATTCCGCTGTAAACACAAAAGAGTTTCAATACAAATAGCGCGGCGCATTTCACAAAGTTTTTACGCACAAAAAATGTTGAAATAAAATTGGCGCTGAACAAAAAGTCGAGCCAAGCGCGAAAACGTACAAATAGAGTGTATATATATGCATGTATGTATGTATGTACATGTGAGTGTGTGTGTACAAATACACACACACAAATATGTAGTTCCCCGAACGCAAAGAGCCGGAGGAGGCGGAGATGCTGTCATCATCGGCATTGTTGGGTGTCCTGGTCGGATGTTTGTTGCTGCTCCAGCAACTTTTTCCAACAGCAATAAGCCAAGACGTTGACGCGGGACTGCAGGGACTGCAGTCAGTACTGGAGGATGGCACGAGGCTGCCCCGGGGGACTACAGGACCCATTCGGACACGCCAAGGACAAGAACGCACTGAGACAATCAATAAATCTAAAGTGCAACTACAGGCGACGACGCCTTTTTGGCCCTCGTTTTGTTCCCTTTTGACAATGTTGTCAATACTTGAAGGGGGTCGGGTGTCGGGTGCACCAGACTGCCGCTCTGGTGCTCGTTTGTCGCTGCCCTCTGAAGCAGCAGCAGCCATTTTGTACAGTTTGCATAGCCAATTTGCGTGGCACTGTGGCACAGTTTTTTTGTCGTTGGCTTTGCCTTTGCCTTAAACTCCGACTTTAGCATCCTCTTGGTACTCTCAGTTCAATTGACTGCATTCCGCATTGGCATATTCCCATTGCTTTTCCTTCTATTTTCTATTACTCATTGCCCGTTTACTTTATTTTCCTTTGCCTTTTCGCATTTCCACAAGTTAACGCTTGCCCGCACATGCCATAAATGTAAATCAAGTGGCTTTCTCTTCTTCCTTTCTTCGAGGGCCCCCAGCACTCAAATGAGGACTAATACCGGGCTTCGTCCAGCCATCCATTCATCTCCTCGCGCCATTTAGCCTGGGACAATGTCCAGCACGAGCCACTGACAGCGAATTTTATAACAATTAAAAACGAAAGACAATGAGACATTGAAGCAAGTGCCGTCGCGGAATGCACTGTAAAAAAATTGAACATGGCTTGACCTTATATAAATATTTACAATGTATATTCTGGTCGTATTTTCTGTTAGTCTTTTCTCCACTTGTATTCCATTTTCTTATTGTTGCAGTGCTGTGGGTACACTCCAAATTAAGTGAAAATTGCTGCGTTCCGCTTTGTGTTGTGGCTTTGGATGTAAAATACGCAAAAGAATTATTTCCATTTCAATTTGTTTAATAAATTGAAATGCAGAAAGACTCCCGGACAGAGCTCGGGGGGCTGTTAAGCCAGCAGCATGGCTGATTTGTTACTGCCGCTTAATTGCGGCTAACGGCATGCTTCATTAAATTGCAATTTTTCAGGCTCTCCAGCCATGCGCTAAGCCATGAGCTGTAAATGCAGCACAGGCAGCCATCGG